CGCCTGGTCCATTATACTCCTGCTATGAGTGAAACCATCCGGTATTTTTCTTTCTCTTTCTGGCTTATCTCACTAAGCATGATCTTTTCCAGCTCCAAAACAGGTAATTTTTAATGCCGTGTGTGTGTGTGTGTTTTAGAGAGAACTATTTATGTACTCTTTATGGTCTTTGAATTTTAAACAGTTAAAAACAAAAATAAAGGTCCATAGAATAAAAATTATAAGGTGAAGAAAACTGCAAGGATGTCTTTGAAATAGAGTATAAAAAAGCACAATAAACACTTTGTTCTATTAATAAAAGTAGGATTTATCTATTAAAAGACAAAGACCATTTGGGACAAATTTAGCTTACATTTTGGCTTATCTAATTTTTTCTTAATGCTTAAAATTATGGTCTATTAACTCTACAAGAGAGTTTCAGGCTGTTCAAGAAACTGCTTATTTTGCTGAGGTAGGTCACATTTCCTAAGCTACTGGAAATGTAATGATCTTCAGTATATTTTCAGTACCTTGAAGAAATGTTTCAATTTCATAAACTTGTATTTTTTCCAGAATACTTCAGTATAGAAAGAAATAGTCTTATGATTTCTACCTGGATTTTTGCAGATGTTAACATCAAGAGTACATGTATCGCACTTGAAGTGTGTGATTTTTATAATATGTGATATATAAGATATATGCATTTTGTCTCAATAAAGTTGTTTTTAAAAAGATATATAGGCCATGGCTTTAATTTTGTTGTATTCATCATAGCTCAAACATAATTAGCTGAATAGAAAAATCTTTTCTTAGAGGTTTTCAGTGATAAGCATTACATTTTATTCTTTCTTTCTTTCTCTTACATTGATCCAAACTGTACACATCACTGATTTTGTCCAACTCTAAAGTGAAGTATCTGAAGTATCTTCTGGCACGTGCATATTCTTTCACATTGTACCCTCCATCTGATATAGGTGTTTTGCTAATAGCTTTTGTGTTTTGTGAGCCTGATTATTGTCATTAATTTCATGACTGGCATAGTAACTCCTTACCAGTAGTTTTGTTTTAGTTTTTAAAGATTTAAGTTGCAATTTAAATCATTTTTGCCTCCTTGTATTTCCTTGCATACTGGCTTACATTAATAACTGAAAGGTAAATTTAATTTCTAACCTGCTACATTTAGACTCAAATGCTAGGGAGAGCCATATTTTTCACTTTAAAGTTCCATTTTATCCAGTATTCAGTATAATGTTAGAATCGGCTATGCTAAAATTTAAGTTCAGCGAGTTATATGAAAAAGAATAGTGGTATCTAATGAAACACCCTCCCAACTTTCTAACCAATACTCCTGCCTATTAGTTTACTTTTGAAATACCAATCAGAATTTGTTACATATTGGAGATTATCTTAATGCTTTTTCCATAAATTTTTAATATCATTAATATGAATTACAAGTTTAGTGGTAAATTGAACCAGCTTTGTTCAGAATAAACTTAGGTAGTTTTGTCACCTTTTCTGTGTTGGGAAGACTACTGTACTTTAACTACAGTGAAACTTTTGCACTCAGTTTGTTTTGCAGTTAGGTGAAAGAATTTATAAAGAATTCCTTTTCTCTATAGTATTAACATGAATTCAATTTTTTTTATTTTATAACTATACATAGTTTTGGGTGCCCACTTATATGAATTATTTTAACAGTTAATTTATTACTTTTCCCTGGTTAATGCTAATTTGGATTAAATAAATTCTCAGTCCTTTAAAGTTATTCCATAGAAAAAGTTTTCTTGGGCCTCTCTGGTAGCATCTGGGTAAGTCTCATGCTGTCACAGCATTTCCTGAGTTTGATTCTGGCTGGGGAACTGACCCATATGGCACAGCAGACCTCTCCTATCTTCCCCACTGCTCCTTTCAGCAGTGTATTTCAGTAGATGTGCCTGTTCCACGCTTCACTCTGGTGAATTCTTTCACCCCCGCCCCACCCACACCTCTGGCCTATACCCAAACTCTTATATGTATAAATAAATAAAAATAAGTAAAGAAAAAGGTTTTACAGTTTACTGTGTGTTTAACCAGATTTTCTAGTGCTAGGTATCTTTATTTAACATTTTAATTCTGACTGTATTTTTTTATGTTAGATTATTTTTTTCAATAATAAACATTTTTAAACATCTTTAACACCATTTTGTTGTCCTAGTATAATATTAAATGAGGTGATTTCAGAGGGATAACTTTGATAGGAATAAGAAGTTTCATTCATGGTGTTCAATGTTGACTTTTTCATTTTCAACATATCCCTTTTAAACATTGTTAATGTTGTAGTTGCTTTCAGCTTTAGCTTAGTTTTTTGACTTTCAACTCTGATTAACCTTGACAAAAAATAACTTACCAAAAAAGATATTGCATGATTTATAGCTTTATTTAAGAATGAAACAGTTGGACCTGGGAAAGATGGAGAAAACTAAGAAATTCTGGGGTTCTCAGAGACTTGAACTACTAGAAGTTCACTTTTGAAGGTTCTCATCAGATTGATCACAGTCTGCACTTGCTTTGTGTTTGTTCTCAAAATTCAGTTCCTAGGAGAGCAACAAAAGTGTTGGAATCCTTGTCACCACCGTGTTGTCGGATGTTTCTTTTGTATTGTGGTGGGTGGTATACAGGAGTATGGGTGGCTGCCCTGCTGGGATCATGGGGTATAGGAAGGAAGTAGAGAAATATAGAAAGGGATTCTAGCAGTTTGGGAAAAAACAAACAGACCAGCAGATGAATTAACAATGTGAAAGATAAAAAACAAGAAAACTTACACTTTTCTCATCACAATACAGTTAGGTTGATAGATGTACACAAATACGATGTTTATTCTTAAAGTATTGTCACTAACCTGTTCAGCTATAAACATCCCTTACCCAGTGGTGGATAACCCAAAGTTCCATCCTTCTGTTGTAGAAATTATGTTTGGCAACTATAACTCTTGGAGAGTAATTTGGTTGAAGGATGGTGGAAGCTAGATTTTAAGAAGCTAAGATGAAATTAAATGATAAGAAAGAGGAACCAAGAGGTATATATCACAAAGAATCATTTTATAATATTGTTAGATGACTTTAAATGTGGGATAGCCATCTGCAAAGAATGAAAGGATAGGAGTAGAAGAATGCACTGTAATTATTCTATAACGTCAGGTATATACCAGGACATTCTGTCCATTTATTTAAAGGATCTGGACTGGTGAGTTGGTCTATATAATGGGAATGACATATCTTGTACTGCTTCAGTGTTACTATATTTTTGAATAATAATCTCTTTTATAGTTTTCTGTGTCCTATCAGTTTCTTTTTAAGATTGTTTTATAAAGGCAAAAAGATTATGTGATATACACAAATGACTGATATTAAACAGGTACAGTAACCTCAAAATTGGATATTTTTGCTTTGGTACATTTAATAAAACAGAGTTCCCTGCTTTGGTATATAGATGAATAACTTTGGGGGGAACCCACATTGTTTTTAAAGTATTCTTTTCCTGTGGTTATTTTGCTAGTGGTATAATCTGCTTGTTGTGAAACTTTTTCTTTTTAGCTTACATCTGAAATGTTTGAAGCAGATCTTGAGAAGGCATTGTTGCTAAGCAAATTAGAATATGAAGAACATAAAAAGGTATTTGTTCTTTTATTGATTTAGATATTTTAGATGTTCAAATGGTCATAGGTTAGGAATGACCTTCCTGAAACTCCTTTAAAGTTTGTCCTCAAAATTCCTCGAGAAACACAATACTAGCAGAAAATTTTTATAATATCTCCTCAAGTTTTTAGAGATGTGTGAACTTTGTGATTTGGAATGTTTAGTTTAGAAATTATTTACCTAAGATGAAGAGAAGAAATTTAATTAACACCAGATTTTTAAATGAATATAGAAAATAAGATTTAAACTTGTAAGTAAGTATAAATACAAGAGCACCAATTAAGAAACTTTTTGCTTGAGTGTCTGTAATAAAATAAACAGGAGGCCATTTTTGATATATTGTCCTGTGAACTCAGCATTTGTTACTAAGCTGTGATATTGGTTGTGTAGTGTTATGTATTCTGTAACTTAGAACCAAAGGAACAGTTATGCTAAAAAGTAGTGTTATTTCCTAGTTTCTGTATTTAAATTGTGCACTTATTAAATTCATATTATATAATATTTTACATGTAATATTTACATGTATTGAAGGTTTTTTTTGTTTTTTTTTATAAAGTTCAACTTGTCATTGTTCAGTGGTTAGTCATGAGTGACCTCTTGGTCATCCTCAGCTGCCTTTAAATTGTGCCATTGTGTGGTAGCTCTTTCACTCAAAAATGAAGGAGGGAAAGAAATTATAACTCAGAGAAGAGAGCAAAATCAATTAGAAGTTGAAAGGCAACTATCCTTTATGGTTTCATTCAGGGGAATATAGAGGAACAAAGCGATAGACAATACCAAATAAAAACAAATCCTAGAAATCTGACTGTAGAACTGAGACTACTACATGCGGTGTGTGGAGTAAAATGTAAAGGGAATCAATGGACTGTGGTGGAGGATTATGGGTGTTGTGATGGTATGTGGTAACACATATGAAGACGTGTGAATTTACATCTTTGAATTAGAGTGCTGTAAATCAATGTTACCTCAATCAAAAGCAATACAAAAAAAAAAGACATGCTAAGTAAAAGTTTAAAAAAATTCACAGCAGATTTCTTTGCTATTTTTGTTTTTAAACATCCTTGTTTATTTTTTGAGGATATAGAATTTCTTCCTTAAGGTGTGATCTCCATAGTTTCCCCACAGTCCTCTCCTACCCCCACCATCTTCGTTCCTCCTACTCCTTATACCTGTCCTTTGCTCTCTCCCTTTCTCTTCTTCTTTCCCTCTCTTCCTGAATGTCTTTAGACAGTCTACTTTCAAGAGTCAGTCCTACGGGTTTGTCTGATTCTTTGTTCCGTTTCTCTAGATTCCATATATAAATGAAACCATTATTTATCTATCTTCTTCTGGCTCACTTCACTTAATTAGACTAATCCCTTCTAGTACATTCCATATTTCTGTAAATGGCATGAGTTTATCTTTTTTGATCACTAATTAGTATTTCATTGTGTGTAAGAACCACATCTTGATCCATTCATCTGTTCTGTGGTATTTAGGTTGTTTGACTATTGTAAATAGTGCTGCTGTAAATATAGGAGTTCAGGTTTCCTTTCAGATTAGTAGTATTGTGCTCTTTTGGTAGGTAGCTAGGAATTGAATCACTGGGTCATATGGCAAAGCCATTTTTAGTCTTTTAAAGAATCTCCCCACTTCTTTCCATTGGGGCTTGTCTAGACTACATTCCCCCAAACAGGGGGTTCCCTTTTCTCCATACACTCTCCAGCACTTGTTGCTTGTAGTTTTTGATACCAGCCATTCTTACAGGTGTGATGTGTAGTGTCTTATTGTGATTTTGATTTACATTTCTCTGATAATAAGTGATGATGAGCAATTTTTATATGTTGGTTTCTGAGGCTCCCTAATATAGAACAAAGCCCTGTGAGACCCAGGTTAGTATACTGGTCTGCTCAGAGGTGCTGGTAGCTGAGTGATGAGTGGGATGCGCTTTCCCTACTTTGCTCTTTGTTAATAGTTTACTGATGGGGAAAAGGATGAAAGTTGTCAGCAATTTGGATCTACTAATTCTGAAAATAAGAGGAGAGAAGGAAGTAGACGGTTTTGATAAAATATACTTTCAGTCAGTTTTCTTGGAATAGTTAGTAGTCTTAATATCTAAAAGGCTTTTATAGGTTTTATAATGATTCTCAGAAAATGGAGGAACTCCTTTTGTATGCAGTAACTGGTTTGATGTCTTTTTTTTTAAAAAGATTATGTATACAGATCTGGGTTATAGATCAGAAGTACAAGGTGTCAGAGGATTCACCAGAGACAGAATGGGGAGTAGAAAAGGCAGATGTACTGAAATAACACTGCTGAGGGGAGCAGCAGTGGGTGGGCCAGGAGAAGTCTGCCACACCATGTGTGTCACCTCCTTGGCCAGGGATCGATCTTGTGCTGTAGTGGCTGAGGTAGCTTTATAATACTGTACTTTAACCCACTTGTGCCACCACAGAGGGCCCGTCATTGATATAAAAATTATATTAGCCTAGAGATTTTTATAATAATTGTAGAGTTCAGGTTGGCATTTTCTATTCTGTTCCACTACTCAATCACCAGATATTTTTTTTAATTTTAAAATATGCTAGGCATAATGAATAAAGATAATGAAAAGATCTCATCCCTTGAGGAGGAAGTCATACATGTAGAGTTTAATATTGAGAGATGTATGTTCTCAGTGCCACAGGATTTTCTGTGTCTTTCATATGGATATGGGGTTAGGAAAGGATTCTTAAATAGTAGTTTTCCTAGATGCAGAAATTCACAGCATAGGCAGGAAGCAAGGTGGCATTCTCAGGGAAGGAGTGGCAAGTGTATAAGATGTATACATGTGAGAAAGTACAATATGTTTGTAAAACATAATTTAGAAACCTAGAGTCGCTGAAGATACTGCCAGAATAGAATATAAAGAACCTCATATACCAGGCTAAAGAGAGTGGGTTTTACACATTTTAGAAGATAGCTATTGAATATTTTTAACTTTTAGATTGATTTCAGGTTTTCATTTCAGAAACTCATGCTGTACAAGATGTACTCATGCTGTAGAAGATGTATTGAGGGAGGAGGAGAAAATAGATTTTAGAGTTTTTTTTTTAAAAAGATTTATTTATTCATACAAAACTGGGGTACAGGCCAGAGATGTGGAGGGTGAGAGGATTCACCAGGGACAGAGTGGGGAGCAAACAGGCAGATCGATGAAGTACACTGCTGAGGGGAGCAGTGGGCGGGTCAGGAGAGGTCTGCCTCACCATGTGGTCACCTCGGGGGCATGCGGGGATCGAATTCATGGGGAAGTGGCTTAAGCTTCTTAGTGCAGTGCTTTAACCTGCTGCGCCACCAGGGAGGGCCGATTTTAGAGATCTTTAGGGGATGAACTTAACAAGATCTAGTGAGTAATTTGGATATAAAGTGTATAGGAAAAGTGGGCAAGTTTCCTAGCCTAGATGGTTATGTAGATGATGGTAGTATTTAACAGGGTACTTACCCCTACTCAAACAGGGAAGACAAGAGTAGTGAATACAATTTGTTTGAAGATGCTTATTGAACATTCCAGTTTTACATGTACAGAAATTCTCAGTGTATATATGACTTTAAACTTTGAATCTGAAGAAGTAAGGTTATAATGTATAAAAATAGGTTGTGAATAGAATGATGTAAATAATAGTTCTATTTTTAAGAAGGGAGTTGGGAAAAAGAAAGCCAGTGAAAGAAATTTAAGAGTGGTCAGGAGTAGATTGAGAAAACCAAAAAATACTTGAAAAATTAATGGCTGTGTATTTGGCATTTAAAAGGAGTTTGACTTTAATTTTAGGTAAGAGAACAGTGTGAGAAAAGAAACTGAACATAGATCTTTGTATTAGATTTGGTCTTGAAATGAAGAGGGTGGCAAAAAGAAGGCACTATAACCACAGTCCAACTTTTTATTTTAATATTTAAGAGGCAATAGATTGAATATGTAAATAATTATCCTTTGATACAGTTTGACTAGACTAAGCTTAGAACTTTATTTGCCTTTTGTCTTTAAAAAATACAACTTTAAAAAACTGCATATGATTGGTGAGTTGATTTACTAGTGCCAATCAACTTTAATTATTTTTGTTAATTTTTTAGGAGTATGAAAATATTGAAAACCCTTCAACTCAGTCAAAGGTTATGAATAAAAAAGATAAAAGAAAGAATCATCAGGGAAAAGACAGACCTCCTACGGTATCTCTAAAAGATTTTCAATCTGAAGGTAATAATGTACAGAATTTATTATGCTAGAAAAACTAGTCCAATTATTTGCATATTTAAGCTGTAAGTATCCTTCTAATTTTTTTTAAGAGTATAGTTGTTTTGTTAATGTATTACTTTGGAATCTAAAAAAAATGTAGACTTATTTAGGATAAACAAACCCATGGAGGTTAAAATAACTTTAAGTAAGGTAATTAAACTGCAGTTAGAATTTTTGCACTTCTGGTTTGTTCCTTTTCTAAAACTCACTGAAAATAGAAACTGACTTTTGCAGCTTTTGAGTCAACTTGAACCATATTGCATTTATACATAAAGTGATTTGTCTTGCACTAGACACTTTAGCTTGGTCAGCCTTTTCAAGTTTATAACTGCATCTTTGAAAATTAAAATACAAAATTTTAGAATGGGACTTATCAGAAAAGTCTTATAATTATTATATTTTATTGAACCGAAAAGGCAGAAGGAAATTATATAATTTACCAAACTTTTGAAGAAAGACCACTGTTAAATAACAAAAATCCAACTGAGTTGATTTTAAAGTCTGATTGGCTTTATTAAATGATTCAAGAATTGGATAATAGCATACCATCTAGCAAGTAGCAATGTACTCTGAAATGCTATTCAAAAGGAAAGTTTTTTATAGGCAGAAAAAGGGCAAGGTAAAGAGATTTTGTTTTCAGGCTTCAGTAGCCTGTCTCTGAGTGATGGGTAAGTGTCATGTCACAGATGACCTCATTTCTGTTGGGGAATGAAAAAGATTACTTCATTGGTGCTGACCAGAAATTTCCCTCTTGGCTAGTTATGTAGGACAACTTTCCTGGGGAAGCTTGCCCTCGGCAAGAGTGTTAAAACAGCATTTAGATTTGATGTTAAATCTTGGTGGAATTGGCACAAGTGCCTCCATTTGGTGGCCTCATCTTCTTTTTCTAACCCTATGAGACACATTATTTTTGAGTGTGGGAAATGGTGAAAACCCTAAATCAGTGCAATATAATATTCTATCCATTATTTATATGTGCCATCTTAAATATAAATAAAGTGAAATAAAAAGAGGGGCAGAGACAAGACATAATAAAACGGCTATTATGCTGGCAGCTTCTCCATCAGTTACTACTTGAAAACAGCTGCCACATAAACATATCTCACCAGCTGATTACTAGCATCCCTGGATGAATTCATGCATCTTTCTCCCTGAGGTCTGTGCTTGTTACTCACTAAGGTTTGGAACAAGAAGAGGTAAGGGGAACTTTACATATTTCTATTCTTGGTGGGTGAACCAACTTGGGAAGACATAGGCTCTGGTTTACACAGACTGGCACAAGGGAACAATACACACTCAGGGAGTGTGCTTTTTCACTGAGCCATGGGACAGACAGATCAGCCCCTGAGCATTGGTTTGCTTATAATGTGAGTAGGGACAGAGCAATCTGCTGTGAATTGCAGTCTTCCAATATTAAGATAAGGACATGGGAGAAGACTCTGGTCATAGAATTGAGCTTGGTCTGATGGCAGAAAGAGAAATAGCAGTAAAAGCATGTCAGTACTAGTGTGCCATACCCCATTAAATCGTAAATACTTATTCCAGGCATCTGGGCTCCTATTTCCCCACATGTTTCCCTTCTGTCACCTTGATAAAAAATGAGGATACTAAAAGTAAAGCCATAATATCACCCTTTGGGGGTAAAAAGAAAAAAAAAAAAAAGGACAGCATCCATAGGAAAGGAGGTGCAACCCAAAGAAAACAACATGGAAAAAGATGATGAAGCTGAATCCAAACTTTATGACTCAGAATTCTAGAGGCAACAAGGAATTCAAAGAACAATCATAAAGAAGCTCAACAAAGTGTGAGACTCAAATACAGAGAAGTAGAGTCAGGGCATTAAAAAAGATACTCAAACAAGAAAGTTCATAAAAATATTAAAATTAAAAAAATACACAAGCAGAAACAATGGTTATGAATTATATCATGAAAGAATTTTAAACAGCATGGAATGCTTAATAAGTAGACTTAATCATGCTGCAAAAATAATTTCAGAAATGAAAGATTAAAAACAAAGAACCGAATTGGAAGAGGGACAGAGAATGATTTAGGAAATAAAGTTTTAGGAAAAACTATAAAATATCAGACCTGATTGGAAGAAGCAGCAAAATGGTATTCCTGAGGGTGAAGAAAGAATACTATGGATGCTTCTGTAGTGGTAGTGCTATAGTGACTAACCTTGAAAGGGGAAATCCTATACTTTCAAAACACTAGCAAGGATATAAAACAATGAATAGAAAATAAAAGCAAACAAAACAAAGAAACAAAAGCTGTGGATTTTCCAGACTGAAGGAAAGAACTAAGGCAAGAAAGAAAAACATCTAAATTTTAAATGTGAAATAACCCAGACCAAAACACATCATTATTAAATTGTGAAAAGTCACCAATAAAAACAAAATATTAAGCTACCAGAGGGAAACATCATGTAACTTACTTAAATGCTTTTAATCAGGCTCTAATCGGATTTTCAACCAAAACTAGCTAGAATTGAGTGGAATGACATAATCACAATTCTAAAAAGGAAAAATGGTCAGCCAAGAATACAGTGTTCCACAAAATTAAAAAATGATGGAGAAATGAAGGCTTTCCCAGGCAAACAAAATATCTAATGGAAGCTTACTACCACCAAGCCTGCCCTATGAGAAATGCTAAAAATGTCCTTTTATATAAAAGGAAAAACATGAGACCTTGAGTGAGGTGATAAATAGAGTCACAGTGTCTGAAACAGAAGCAATATGGGACAACAGTAAGACAAAGGGGAGAAGAAAAGAAAGTATATAGTCAACTTGTAGGCAATCAGTACAAAACAGGACTAGTTTACATAATAGGAAGTTTAAGATAACCCTCATAGTAACTATAATACAAATATCTGGAGCACAGACACTTGAAGAAATGAAGAAACAGCCACCAGGAAAAGCCATCCAAATGAAAAGGCAATAGAAACATATGGGAAAAGAAACAGAATGGTAGAACAACAACAAAAAACCTCCAAAAGAATGGTGATAAATCTCATATAGTATATCAATAACTACCTTAAATGTGAATGGTCAACCCATAAGTTAAAAGACACAGAATGACAGGTTAGATAGAAAACCTAATCCATCTCTGTTGTACATATTGAAGTCTCAGCTCTAAAGATAAACACAGATATAAAGTAAAAGGCTGCAGTAGCATATTCCAAGTCAGCCATACAGAAGTAAAAAAGCAAGAACTGCTATTCTCATATCTAATAAATTATAATTTTAGCTATAAAAGATAATTAATGGCTAAGCCAGGCATGATATAATAATCAAATGGCAATAAAAATTTATAATTGTCAACAGTATTTATGTACAAAACACAAGTGTTCTCAGTTATTAATATATCAGTATATGTGCTATAAAACAGCACATTGACACAACAATAGTAGGAGATATTAGCACATCATTTCTATCCATAGAAAGCAAACAAGGAAATAAAGGAAATAATGGTCTTAAGTAATGAATTGCATCAATTTAATATATGTATACAGAGATTTCTGTCTCAAAAGAATTGAATATACATTGACCTGAAATGCACAGAAAACATCAAGGATAGATCATATACTGGGACACAAAACAAGCCTAAAAAATATATGAAAATCAAAATTTTATCAAGTATCTTCTTTGATTAGAATGGTATAAAACTAGAAATCAGCCCCAAGAAGAAATTGAAACAAACAAACAAACAAAAAACAAATGTGGAGGCTAAAAAAAAAAAGTTTGAATAGCTGTTGGGTCAAAGGAGAAATTAAAAAAAATGAGTATGACATAATCTACTAGTCCTATAAAATGAAGCAGAAGTGATCTAAGAAAGCACATAACCCGCATAACTAAACAAAAGCAATACCAAGTAGCCTAATTTTGCATCTGAAGGATCTAAAACAGGTGATTCACACACACACACACACGAAAAGAAATATGGCAGTCAGGCTAGAAATGACCAAAATAGAAATAAAATTAAAGCACTGCACTGAGAAGCTAAAGCCACATCAGCATGAGTTTGATCCCTGCCTGCCCCAAAGGTGACCACATGGCGTGGCAGACCTCTCCTGACCCGCCCACTGCTCCCCTCAGCAGTGTACTTCGTAGATCTGCCTGTTCTGCTCCTCACTCTGTCTCTGGGGAAGCCTCTTACCGCCCCTGAGCCTCTGGCCTGTTCCCCAGTTCTTGTATACATAAATAAATCTTAAAAAAAAAAAAAAAGAGGTAAAGGACCCAGACATTAACAACTCTAAGATATTGTCAAAAGAAATGAAAGAATATTCCTTGTACATATGTTGGAACAATAAATACTATTATCATGGCTATATTACCTACAGCACTTTATAGATTTATAGATTCAATGCAGTATCTATCAAAATTCCAATGTTTTTTTCAAGAAAATAAAACAAAAATAGAAAATTGTATAGCTCTGCAAAAAGGCCTGAATAGCCAAAACAATCCTGAGAGACACGAGGAATAGAGGTGTCATATTCCCTGACATCAAACTATAGTACCCAGATATAGCAATCAAAACAGTATAGTATTGGAACAAAGATCAATACAGTAAAAGGGATAGAATACAGAGCCTAGGAATAAACCCACAGTTAATTTTTCACAAAAGAACCATGGCCAGGCAATGGCGAAAGTTGTCTCTCTGAAAAATATAAATTTGCACCTGCAGAAGAATGAAGTTCAGTCATACTTAACTCCACACACAAAAAGCAATTGAAAATAGATTAAAGACTGATACATGGCCCAAAATATAAAATACATATAAGAAAACATTGACAATATATTCCTGGGTGTGAGTTACAACGATGTATTTGGGGGCACAAACCCATTGGCAAGGGAAAGGAAAACAAAAATAAATGGTACTACGTTAGTTTAAAACTTTTGTATCATGAAAGACACCATTCCTAAAACAAAAGGGCAGCCTGTGGAATGAGAGGATATTTGTACATCATTACATGTCCAACAAGGGGTTAATTTTCAAAATCTGTCAAGAACACAGACATTAACAAAATGTAAACTTAATAAAAAAATTAGAAAAGATAACTTCTCTCCAGACACATGACCCACAGACATGAAAAAATGCTCAGCATCACTTATAAGGGACATACATATTAAAAGCACAATGAGATATTATTTCATCCCTGTGAAAATGATGTGTATCAAAAAGACTAGAATTTTCATTTGGCAAAGATGTGAAGAAAAAGGAGCACTCATTCACTGTTGGTGGGACTACGCAGTCTATATGAAAGATGGTATTAGGATTCCTTAAAGAACTGAAAAAGAAAATCCCATATGATTATATAATACCTTTTAAAGATATTTATCCAAAGAATGTGAAAATACTAATATGAAAAGAATTATTTACCCCTATATTCATAACAGCATTACTCATAATAGCCAAATCATAGTATCATCCTAAATGACCATCAGCTGAAGTCTGGATAATGAAATTGTGGTATATATTCTTAATGGAATACTATTCAGATATTCTTTCATATTCAGCTGTTATAAAATGATGAAAGTATCTTCTGGGACAAAATGGATGGATCTGGACATGATTATGCTAAGTGAAATAAGCCAGAAATTGAAACATAATTATCAGGTGATTGTACTCACTTGTGGAATATGAATAGCCAAAGGGTAAGGAAAAAAACCAGGAAAACATAATAAAAATAACTCGTAGCCAGAGGAAAGGAGGAAGAAGCACGGGAAGGTGAGGGTATAATATGCTAGTTTATTGGCCTTGAAACTTTGGTAGATGAGTGAATCATATGCACATGTTGGGGTATAAAATGGTGCTCCCAAATAACATATTTATGTAAATTAAAGGCAAATCAGTAAAACATGTTTTTAAAAATTAACTAAAAATGGACCTCCCTGGTGGCGCAAGGAGTTAAGTTCTCAGCACTATGAAGCTTTCAGTAGCCAGCCCTCTTCTGTCTTGCAGGCTGCTCCCCTCAGCAGGATTTCAGTATTTCAGTCAGCTCTACCTGTTCTCCCACTCTGTCTCTGGTGAATCCTCTCAACATCTCCCCCCCCCCCACCTGCCCCCACCTCTGGCCTACATCCTAGCTCTTTTATATATAAGTAAAATAAATCTTTAAAAAAATGAACTAAAACCCAAAATTCTTATTTGCATTTGCTACATTTCAAGTGCTCAGTGGCAGCATTTGTCTAGTGGGTTCTGTATCAACACACATCTAGAACACTGCTATCATAATGAAGTTTTATTGAGCAGCATGTGCTTATACCACTTAGAGTAGTTGCTGACCAACTTAAGAGCATTTTGTACATTGAGCAGCCTGTTTGATTCATATGAATTTAGCTTTCATATATTGACCATTTGTTCTGTGAAGATTAAGAATACCACATTAATGTTTACTCTTCCCCCAACCTAGATATTTTAGAGAAAAGCCTGTCTGTTAAATTAGAAATAAATTTAGAGGATATATTGTTTTCCTCTAAAAACCAGAAAAACCTTTCCTATAGTCTGCCTTTGTTAAATTGCTTTGTTTGGGGGGATATAGAACAGATACATTTCTAACTTTAATAAATTAATTTCTAATGTTAGAAAGATTTTACATATGAAATATTTCATTAAAACTAGCTAGAAATGTGAAAATAGTGCTTTTTAAAATGCCTTATTTTCTAAGTTTGATTTGTTAATTAAGTACTATGCAGTTTTAGTTGGTGGACTAAGAAAGGCATCTGAATGATACTGTTAAAGGGAAGCTGTACAACCATCACAAGACGTTACAAACACCATTGTGATTCTCCCTGGGCTTCTGGCATCAACTTGTATGCTAAGGAGAACATGCTAAAAGCATGACATTAACTTATCAGGACATAATAGTTTGCTCTGATGCTTGTGATCTTTGACCATGTTTCGTGGACTCTGTTCTGAATAATTTGGATACGTTTATGATAATTTTAAAGGACAGTTATTTTACTTTTTATTCTTCAAGGCAGTGATTATATGGTTTTTATAGTACTCTGTGATTTGATTTTAGATATTTTTTCTCCCAAACCTTACTATGAAACCAAAAACTTAAATTACTTGAAATTCAAATGTCTAAAATTTAATTATATCCTTTGATATGAATGTTATTTAAAACCTAGTTTCTGATCTGAGCAAGTTAGTAATTTCATGTTGAAGTTTGCCACCTTAGACCCAGTAAATTTATGATTTAATAATCCCCAAGTGAGTTTTATAAATCTTACTATAATTTTGAAATTCTTTTATTTTGTTTAAATACTTTTACAGATCAAAATCTTTTTATGTGTTAACCTTTTTCAATGAAGCCTCTTTTTTTTTTCATTTACAGATCACATTAGTAAAAAGACTGAGGTAAGTGTTATAGCCATCTTTGTGGTTTCTTATGTAAGCTCTTTCTAGAAAACATAATTTTAAAAATAACACTTTACTAATGCTTTTTGGAAACAGCCATCTAAGGACAACAGAGATTTGTTATGAGTAAATGCAGTCATATTTCTGTCAATTTTTAATAACATAAAATATGATAGAATAAAAAATAACATTGTTTATATGAAATATAACATCTTGGTGTGAGTCATAAGCTTACAACAGGTAAACTTAAAAATTTAGGGGAAAGTGGTATAATACTGTTAAGTCTATATTTTAATCTTTATTAAAAACATCCTGAAATCATATTTTAAAGTGTTTTGAAAGTCATGAAGTAAGCTGTTTCTCCTTAACTTAAACCTGAAAGAAGATTAACATAAACCGTGTATTTTTCTTATCCTTCATTAGAGGAGCCTATATATAACTTTCTTAAGGTTATTATTTTTAAGACTCCACTATATCTACCACAAACTTTTTATTTTTGAATATTGAGGAAATTATTAATAAAATGTTAAGAGTTCTTTTTATTTCCTTTAGGTAATAATTTGAAAGCTTCATTATATTTTTAGTATGTTTTTGTTAGTGATTTCATTAATCTTTTTAAAAGTCATATATTCCTTGATATCACTTCAGAATACTAAATGATTTTTGACCACATTTTGTTGTTTCAGACATTTGCTTGACAGGTGAGGGCAATGAAATCCATTTTTAAGAAAACCACATTTCAATAATTCTGTCATTATATTAGTAATATAGGACTGAACTATGCACACAAATGCAAAATTGATACTGTTAGATATTAGACTTCTTTTTTTTTTTTAAACAAACTACTGAAACCAGTTCTCAAGTCACTACAGATATATACATTGGGTGTTATTTATATGTTTGTAAGTAGAAAACATGTACATTTGGACTGATTCTCATTTTTCTTTTTAATCCACTTTCATATGTAAGGGAGTTTTATGCAGATGAGGCTCAAATGGTACAGCCTATTCCTAAGACTATCAGCAATATCAGTGGAGGAAAAATAATTTTTATAGATTTTTCCTGCTTGCTTTTTCTTTTTTATTGATATGAAAGAAGAAAATAAAAAAGGCAGAGTGACAGAATATGACCTATTTAATATATCAGTTTGAATTGTATAAAAACAATCATATATGTGTATACTAACTTATTTTGTCTTTCATTATAATTATAGAACGACTTTCTATTTGTTATAAGTAATTTGATTCATAAAATTTAAATTATCCTAACAAAGCATTTTCAACACTTATAAAAATAGCCTAGTTAAAATTTATTTCCTACATAACCATTTAAATAAGTTGGTCAGAAGAATATGTAATTAACATTATCTTTTGATACTTATTAAAAGTATACCAAAATTATGTTCTGTTTCACTAGTGGTATTACTCACTTTATGAGGCTTTAATGTTTAAATATAGAAAATATTATGCTATTGCTCAAGGAATTTAGAAAAGTTTTTTCGACCCTGAGAGAGCTCTCAAAGAAGTCTGAAAAAAATTCCAAGTTCTCTAAAAAAAGATCTTTTCTACTACAGAACATATACTAATCTTTGTATGCTTATAGCTGACTTAATTCTTTACATCTTTAACATGTTACATGTACCAAGAGATTTTTTTTCACCCTAAAATTCTAACTTCTGTAGAGAACTTTATACATCTTAGCGCTCTCTCTCTCTCTTTTTTAAATCTGTACTTACTGGATAAAATTAAAAAGAAAAGATTTTTTTGGTTTATTGTTGAGTGATGAAGAGCACTGTACCATCTGTATATTCCTGTAGCAGTTAGCTAAGCATGTTCTCTGGTTAGTTCATCATTCCTCTTTTTCTTTATCAATCTTGATTGATGTGTTCTTAATCTTTGTGCTTTCTTCATGTCCCAATTCTTTGTAATCTCTCTCACCCAGAAACAGATAGACTACAAATGACACTTGCAGGAGTAGAGCATGGGAGCAATTAATTTTTCTTCATAGAATGTGCAGGAGATGTTTGTTGCCATTGTTATACTAGTTCCTTGCCCATCTTTCTCTACAGTGTGGTCAAAACCTTGCAAGATAATTCTAGTCAAGCAATATGAGTAATAGAGTAGTGCTTATACATACTTCTTAAAACCTCAACTGATTATGCCTGCTAAAGAACATTATTTGATCTTTAATATTGTTTCCTTTGTTTTAAATTTTAGTGTGTTACCTTTGTAAGTACCAGTGTGTCTGGATGGAGTATCTCATTATGTTTCTCTTTTCTTTAGTCCCATTTTTATCTGGCCTTCCTAACTTCATTCCTCCTAGTTGCATTCAGTAGATTGGAAAATTTTAATGACTATCATATTTTGAAGTCCAGAAGTTCAAATCTTCAATATACTGGGAAAGGCTTATCTCTAGAAGGGTACATGAGAAGTTGTAAACGTGGTTACCAAAGGTGTGGATGGAGAGATTATTGGTGAGGAGTAGGAGAAAGGGTTATGTGAATCTGTGATTTCATATCATGTCTTATGTACTGCCTATTTGAGATGTATGATAGAAAAGATCGAGGTTTGTCCCACATTAGAAGTCAGTGAAAAACGGCAACACGATTGCTCAACCTCATCTTGCGTTTGGGATACCTAGGGCATTTCCCTAAGCCTACAGAAGGGAAATGAGGACCTAACAGATAGACAACCAGGGAATATACTTTAAATTTCACTAAAGAATCAGACTGCACATAGCCTCGCCTGACAGCAGTGACTCCCAGCTACCCACCTGTGAACAACATGGTGCAGTGTCATAGGGCTGGAGAAGGTTAAGCATTGTCCCAGCAATTCTACTTCCAGGTTTATACCCAAGAGAATTGGAAACATTTTCATACAAAAATTTGTGCATGTACATTTATGGCAGCATTATTAATATTAGCCAAAAGGTAGAAATAGCTCAAGTGTGTATCAGCTGATGAATGGAGAAAATAAAAGGTGGCATTTTCATGAAGGCAGTGTTACTTGCAATAAGGAATGAAGTACTGACACAAACATTTTACTAAGTGAAAGAAGCTGGAAAAGACCACATAGCCATTCATTTCAGGTGTCTGAATAGAAAAATTTAAATACAAAGTAATTTACCCTGGGGACAGCTGAGTGAGAGATTTTAGGAAAAAAATAGGGAATGACTGGTAATAGATTCAGAGTTCATAGGGGTGGGGTAAAACTTATAAAATCATGGCTATGGCTGCACAATTCTGTGAATATATTAAAAACTTTGAATTGTGCACATTAAATGGGTGAATTCTATGATACTTGGATAAAAACTTTTTAAAATATCAATATCTAATTCAGAACGTGCAGTAAAACGACTTAAAAAATATGGCCATACTATTTATCTTCTGGAGATAGGTAAAGATCAGATGATTCTTTCTTAGTTATCATTTTTCCTTTGTTCTCTATCCCTCTAATGGCTGAGTAGGTTTGATAAATGTAAATATGTTTGTGTTGAATAATAGTAAATCATAATTCATTTTTGACAGGACATGAGTTCTTCTCAGACTTTATCATCTGATGGAGGATTCTTCAATAGATTGGAAGATGATGTTCATAAGATACTTATTAGAGAAAAAAGAAGAGAACAGCTTTCAGAATATAATGGAACAGATAATTGTGCAGCTCACGAACACAACCAGGCATGTAAAATAGAAATTCTCTTAAAGTCACAGTAAAATTAAAATGCAGCAAAAAAGTAAGAAGTAGAATTCAGTTATGATTATATGACACACTAGAATATTTTTAGTCATTATCATGCATATAGGTATGGATATTAAAAAGTATGAGGTATTTTATTGAGCTCATGCAATTTGCTAGATACTGTTAAGTAACAGCGTGGGGAGAGGGATTAAGATAATCTTACCTTTAGATATTCAGAGAACTGGAGATAAGAAGACATAGACCTGTAAAGAGAATATCATTCAGCATAAAGAAGACTTTAAGAGAGAGAGAATAATCAAGGTTTTGAACAGAAAGAGTAATACACTACTCTTTAGGTAAATTATGAAGGTTATAGAAGTCATTTTTTAAAAACATTTATTTATTTATGCATACAGAACTGGGGTACAGGCTAGAGGTGCAGGGGTGGTGAGAGCATTCACCAGAGACAGAGTGGGGAGCAGAACAGGCAGATAAATGAAGTACACTGCTGAGGGGAGCAGCGAGCAGATGAGGAGAGGTCTGCCACGCCTTGTGGATCACTTCCTGGGTGAGGATTGAACTCATGCTGAAGTGGCTTTAGCTTCTTAGTGCTGTGCTTTAACTAGGGAAGGCCTGGAAAAGTATTTTTAAAAGCAGTGCTAACTTTCATTTTTTGAAGGTCAGTGATATATAAATTTTTCCATGTCATTGTCATTTAACAGTCCTTTGATTCATCTCTTTCTGACTGACAAATTACTACATTGGCTATTTCATACACTAAAACCCTAATTCGCATCATTTTTTGTCTTCTGTGGGTATTATCTGTGACACATTTATCTTTCAACAAACTAAATACTAGTGTGTTATATAGAACACAAAAAAAAGTCACATCCTTAAAACTTTTATTCCAGTATAGTACTGAAATTGGTTTATAAATAATACTATTCAACATAAAAATATTTTCACCTTTGTAGTAGGAAATCCTTGTTTTTCTCTGGCACTGAAAAATTTAACATTTTGCTGCCTTGCCCATAATATCAACTTTTTTGTACAGTGCAGGTAACCATGTTTGCTTCCTCTTTTTTCATTCATTATGATTTTCAACCTTTGTGGCTCATGTATTCTTATTTTTTAAACAAAATTTTTGGGAAGAAAGAATATTAATATATTTCAGCAAATAACTAGAGGCCTCAAACTCTTTGTAGAATAGATTTGGGCAAACACAAGTTTAGTTAAATGTTTAAGTAATATTAATGACATTATTAAACTAAAGTGACTGCAGAATAATAGAGAACAGTCTTTGAAATACAAAAACCTTATAATAAAATGTAGTGCTGCAGCATGTCAACTGTGTCTCATTGGGATAAAATTATCTGCTTTTCATGCACTATTAGGAGAAATAGTAATTATGAGTTAAAATGTTTAGCAGAGCATGTTGTACATAGTATGCATATAGTAGATAATTATTTTTATACAAGGTAGCCAGTGTTAAGTTCATTAAAGGGTGTATTGATAAAATGTCAGAGTAATTCACAAAAATAGAAATAAGAGATGACTTCCTTAGTAGAAAATGACTATTGAGTTGGAAGAAAGTAGTAGAATTTGAACATGCAGAGGTGAGAATGAAGAAATGGAATAACTGGAGTAAGATTCAATGAAATCTAAACCAGTTAATTAAAACAATGTTTACAGATAAGCTTAGTATAAGTTTAGTAAAAGGTTGGAAAGAATAACCGAGGATTTAAAGACCTGGTTATGATCCAGTCAGTAAACAATAAAAAATTTTATCGTGTTTTTGAACAGAGAACAAAGTTTTACAGATTCCTTGACTTACAGTGATTCAGCACAAGTATCAACTTTAAGATAGTTGAAAAGCAATATGTACACATTAGAAACCATAATTTGAATTTTTAATTCTAAAATGTGGCAGTGAGCCATAGCTTCCAGACAGCCATACTGTCTTATAAGGGTAAACAGCTGATATTTTGTGCACCGTTTTTTACTTTCCAGTACAGTATTTAATAAATTGTATGTGATACTAAACAATTATAAAATTGCTTTGTGTGGAATTATTTTGTGTAACTGTAGGCTAATTAAGTGTTCTTAACACATTTAAGTTAAGCTAGGCTACACTGATATTTGATAGATTAGGTACATAAATTTGTTTTCAGTTTAGGATACTATCTTACATTTTTCAAATTTTATCAGTTTTGTACTACAAATATAGTCTCTGTAGTTTCACCACCATAGCACCTGTAATTCATTATCACAATCCCCTGTGCTTTTCCCTCCCCTGTCTTGCTTGACCCCTCTAATATCCAAATGCATAGGTATTTTAAAATGATTGCAACTATAAGGAATATAGTTTTGAAGCTACTTTCATAAGCCCTGCCTTTGTATTCTAGCAAGTCAGCTTGTAGCATTTGTTTGATCATTGCACTGTTAAGTAATTGAACATTTGGGTTGTATAGGGCCTTTAGGTTGAGTAATTTAGAATTAGTCACTATAGTATTAATCAAATATCTTCATGTTTTTAATTTTTGTGTGTGCATTATTTTCTTAGAATAAGTTCTTTTTTTTTTTAATTTTTTTTTTTAAGATTTATTTATTTGTGCATACAGAACAGGGTACAGGCCAGAGGCTCAGGGGCGGCGAGAGACTTCACCAGAGACAGAGTGGGGAGCAGAACAGGCAGATGGACGAAGTACACTGCTGAGGGGAGCAGTGGGCAGGTCAGGAGAGGTCTGCCACGCCATGTGGTCACCTCCGGGGCAGGCGGGAATCGAACTCATGCGGAAGTGGCTTAAGCTTCTTAGTGCAGTGCTTTAACCCGCTGCGCCACCAGGGAGGGCCCAAGAATAAGTTCTTTAAAGTGGTTATTAAAACAAAGAATATAAATATCTGTGCTGTTTTAAAAGTGTGTCAACCTTGTTTGTAGACAGTTCTTTAGTTAATGATGTTAGTAATTTTTCCACAGCTTCACTGGTTTGGTAGATCATTCATTCCAATTCTCACTTTTTGACCTTTGAGGTTTTGCTGTTGGAGACCAGCTCCAACTATTGAGGTGTCTGGAGGCAGCACAGGCAGGACCCTAAGGTGGGAAGGCGAGCAGAGATTCCTAAAAAAGGGGAGAAGGAGAAAAAAGGGAAAGGGAAGCGAGGAAGACAGGGGAGTCGGAGTTGGGTGAAAGTCTTCCTGCTCATCTTTTTGCAGGTCTTTATTTATACTGTGTAGCAAGACTTAGTTACAGTAATGCATCAGATAAGTTAATAAGAAATCGGCATAAAAGTTTTAAAGGAAGAGGGGAACAATGCATCCTCTTCCTGCTACTTTATGGCACACTATACTATACATCTTTGTGATAGCTTTCATGTATACGGATGTTTAACTATGACTTTAAAGGATCAGGGTCTGGGAAAGGATGAGCTGTTAGCAAAGGATTTAGGAGTCCTAGGGAAGGAATAAATTGTGTTAGCAAAGTCCTCAGTGATAGTCTAAAGAGAAGCTAATGGCTAACTTAAGGTTAGCAGAGAGTAGCTAGTGTTTGTTTTAGGAAGAGGTTAAATAAGACTAGCAGAGAGTAGTTAGTGATCATTTTAGGAAAAGAGTAAATTAAAAAGAAGTCACATAGTTATGCATTAAGCAAAACCTGTGTTGATAATGTTAGGAAATTGTCCATGGGTCCTTATGCCCTCACAGTTATCTAAGAATGGCTTTTTGTCAAAAGACCAAGGAAGCTTCCAGGAGTCTTGATGCTCTGGGGTCTTATCTCTCTAAGAGCTTACCTTTTGTCTTCAGTCAAAGGAATTTCCTGCCCAGGAGCAGCTCAGCTTGTACTTTGCCCAGGCCAGGTAGTCAATTTAGAGCTAAGGCAATCCAGTTACAAACTGATATTGCTACAATATTTTTTGATATTATGATTATACAAAAAAGGGAGGTCATATCATAAGTCAGCAGTGGAAATTCTGATTTTTCAGAGCTTTTCCCTATCGACCCGGAATCTGTCAGACGATAAGCCGTTGCATAGCTTGTGTCAGTTTGCTTTATTAATTAACCTTGCATCATATTTCACTCTTGTTGTATGGGTATCTTATTATGTGCAAACTCTAGCTCACCATTTATTCTCCAAACTGAGCATTTGGATTGAATTCTGTTATTTTCCAGTTTAGTTTCACTCTACTGGGTGTAGGCCACAGATGCAGAAGAGTAAGAGCTCTCACAAGAGACAGAGTGGGGAGCAGGACAGGCAGCGTCCTGACATATACTGCTGTGGGTAGCAGCAGGCAAGGTTGGAGAGGTATATGCCATATGGGTTAGCTCCCTGCCTGGTGAATTAAACTCATACTGTTGGCCCTCCCTGGTGGCACAACAGGTTAATGCACAGCACTGCAAGTGGAGCGGCAGCTGCTTCAGTACAAGTTTGATCCTCAACCCCGGAGGTGATCCACATAGCACAGCAGACCAATCCTCAGCAGTGTACTTCGTCGATCTGCCTGTTTTGCTACCCACTCTGTCTCTGGTGAATCCTTTCATCCTCTGCACCTTCTTCTGCCTGTACCCCAGTTCTGTATGCATAAATAAATCTTAAAAAAAAAAAAAAAAAGAACCACCTCATACTGCTGCAGTGGCTGGCAATAGCTTGATAGCATTGAGACTTTAACTCAGTGCTACCAGGAAGGCCCACTCTCCCAGCTTTCTAATGCTGAGTAATTCTTATACTGCTAAACAGAAAACTTTCTAAATTGTGTGACTTCCACCATGCCACACCATATTCTTAAATTTGTTGAATCAAGTAATATGTCCTTAGCCTGACATTTGAAGTGCTTAGGCTCTGCTTTTTAAAATTGTGTGTCTCAATTTATTTAACCAGGCCTAAAATAAATTCACTAGGTTGCTACCAGTACTTTTGAAAAAAATGTCAGTAGATGACACTTGTTCATATTTTGTGAAATTTATATATGATATATATATATATCATATATATATACACACACACTGACATGCATGTGCACTCTAGGTTATGACATAAAACGTTCCTTTGACATAAATCCCATTATATAAAATAGTGTTAAAGAAGTTTGAAGGCATTGTTCTGCAGGTCAGCATCAATCTAATTAACTTAAGCTGTGCTCTTTCCCACCTAGGTTGAGAAAGTGCTCCCATCACAGAATATTTGCTCTTTCCCAGACCTTTGATCAAAGTTCATTTCACATGCCATCTCCACCCTGAAGCTTTTCTCACTGTCCCACTCAGCCTTAACCACCAAAACCAGAAAGCCTGGTTGTGATCTTTATTTTCTATAACTCATAATATTGTAGTTACCTTATAATGAATTTCACACAGCACATATTAATTATAATTCTTAATAGATTGCAAGTCCCTGTGGACATAGACTTTATCTTACACATCCTTCTACTCTCACTTTAGTATCTTCAACTTAGGATATAGTTATTAAACTTAGTTAATGAAATGAGTGTACCTTGAAACTGAGTTCCTATTTTAAAAAGTGGTATTGTGGATATTTTAGTATTCACTGCTGTAATAGAAATAAAGATTATAATAATGGCAAAAATGAATACTTACATGTATTAAATACTTAAAGTGATTTTCGTTAATAATCACATTTAATTCAAAGTTACAAAGTTAGTAGATATCATTATCATCACCCCAAATTTAATCTCAATAACCTGGAGAAAACTCTATTGATTTCTGTTGTGGTCCTCTTCAATAATAGATTATTATAGTTATATATTTTAAATTCTAGGTTATCATTTTAAGTGATTTCTGAATTTTCAGTTTTGTATATTTACCACATACTTAATTTGTATTCTATAGTTGTGCGTTTAAATTGACAGACAATTTTTTTCTTTAGTAAACTTGCAGTAAACATTGCAATAGATACTTCCCCTAATCTACTTAAATTCCTCAAAGTGAGATCCCTGGCCCTAAGAGTATGTGTATTTCTAATTTTGATCCACCAACTTAATTCTTTCAACTGGAAATTTGAACTGAAGTCTTCATTCTTCCCACCTATCACATTCAACCTCTCATCAAATGCCTTTGATTTTGTCTTCAAATAATTATTCACATAATACACCTATCTTAATTTAAACTGCTTCCACCATAGTATAGGCATAATTTTCTCTCATCTGGTGTTGTAGTAGTAATGAAAGCAGTTCTTTCCATCTGTCTTACACAGTCTTAAGTTTTTTCCACATGAAGTGAAAGTAGTCCTTAAATCATAAAACTAGCATGGATATAAATCATATAGTCCTTCTCAAATTCTTCACTGCTTTCTGTTTTGTTCAAAATAATATATAGGTCATCCTTATTATGTACAAGGCCCTCCAAGACCAGGCTTCTACATATGTTTCCAAAATCATCTTGTGTTCTTTTCCCCCTTACTGAGATCCAGCCACACTGGTCTCTTTCCTTCAAATTCTCTCGTGTTTTTCCTCCCTCAAGGTCTTTAAAATATTGTTCTTTCTATCTGGAAAGCTCTTACATCCATTTTGTACTTTGCTAACTTATACCTGTTACTCAAGCCTCTTCTTAAGTGTCAGTACTACCTCAGACCTTCCCTGATCCACAAGGATATATTCCTCTTAGAGGAATATATCTTTTCTTCATTGCTTAAGCCTTGATTTTCAGTTGCAACATTTCTTTTTGCAATAGCTGCTTCCTCCACCACACAGGTTTTGGGAGGACAAAAATCTTTTCAGTTGTATACCAAGCACTTAGCAGTTAGGTGCTCAATGAGTGTTTTTGGGAAAGTTACTCATTAGATAAGCAAGCATTTTATAGCCTTCTCTAAAGTATTCCTTTTTTGCATTTAACTTTATATTTTTTGGTGTATGATGTAAGTTGGCAGGAATTTAACTTGAATTTTTTCAGTCACTTTTTTTTCCTGTAATGTATTCTTGTATAATTTACCCTTTTCTGGTTTCTTTAAAATACTTGTTACCATGAATTCTTAAATCTTTCTCTCTGGACTTTCTTCTACATTGCTTTAAGCTAAACGCCATACCCATTCTACTTTAATTAATTTTGCTGGTTGCTATGTAATTATTTGGTAGACAAATTCCTTTTCATGGCATTTCTTTTTCCCCCATCCTGTATTCTTCAGATGAGTGACTATCTTGCTAAAATCCTATTGGAATCTGAATGGAATTTTATTGAATTTACAGGTTAATATTTAGTAATACTTACACTTCCCATCACAAATGTAACTTCGTTCTGTGTTATTTTCAATATTGTGTAGTTTTCTTTATGGTTCCTGAAATTTTCTGAGTTTTAGTCTTCAGTGATTGTTTTTACTACTATTGGGAGGATATGATTTTTCTTTCTTAGAATTACCCTGTTAATTGCTGATAAAAAGAAGATATATTTTTGGTTTTTTGTTACTTGTTTTATTTCTATCTAGGTTTTCAAATCCTTTGGAGTTTGAATATAGACTAGTAGCTTGTCACCGAACACTTAATATTTTTGTTCAGTATAAAATGAGTTTCCAAGTCCTGATATTGTTCTAGGTTATTGTTGTAGTTTGAGATTGATCTGCTTGTATTGTACACAATTGTGACTATTTAAGTGGAAGTGTGTTCAACTACTTAAGGTTTACAAAAATTAAAATCAGATTTTTTACTCTTAAACTTTTCATAAATTAATGTAAGTCACAATTGACAGAAGTAGCTTGTTCTAAAGTAGCATTTTTCTCTGTTTAGGAAGTTGTTCTGAAGGATGGAAGAATTGAAAGATTAAAGTTAGAGCTGGAAAGGAAAGATGCTGAAATCCAGAAGCTGAAAAATGTGATCACTCAGTGGGAGGTTTGTTATTTATTTAATGTTAAATTTAAATCTACATATATGTATTTTTTCTGTTTTTCTTTTATGTGAATATGTTTATTATTTTAGTTATATTTAGGATTTTCAAGTCATTAATGAAATACAATTTGAATAATAATTTATATCATCATAAAGTATATACATTAAATTTGTCTTTTTAGCCATGTTTAAGTATATAGCTTAGTGGCATTTTTACCTTTACAAGATTGTATAACCATCACCAAAACTTTTTTATCACTATAAACAAACTCCTTTCCCAATAAACAATTACCTATTTCCTCTTAGCTTTGGTAACCTTTAATCTCTGTGAATTTACTTTTTCTCATGGAATTAGAGTAGTTTTCCTTGTGTCCATTTTATTTTACTTAGTATGTTTTCCAAGTTCACCCTTGTTTTAGCAGATGTCAGAATTTTATTCCTTTTTTTTTTTTAAATTTATTTATTCATACAGAACTGGGGTACAGGCCAGAGATGCGGAGGGTGAGAGAATTCACCAGGGATAGAGTGGGGAGCAGAACAGGCAGATCAACGAAGTACACTGCTGAGGGGAGCAGCGGGCGGGTCAGGAGAGGTCTGCCACGCCATGTGGATCTCCTCTGGGGCAGGCGGGGATCGAATTTGTGAGGAAGTGGCTTAGGCTTCTTTTGCAATGCATTAACCCGCTGCGCCACCAGGGAGGGCCCAGAATTTTATTCCTTTTTAATGGTTGAATAATATTCCATTTTATGCATATTCTACACCTTGAGTATCCATTCATGCCATCATCACTTGAATTGTTTCCACCTTTTAGCTATAATGAATAACGTTGCTATAAACAATGTTGAACAAGTTCCTGTTTTAAGTTCTATGGTGTTTATACTAAGAGTGGACTTGCTTGAACATACAATAATTCTATTAAACTTTTTTAGGAATTGCCAAGTTGTTTTTCATAGAAACTGCACCATTTTACATTCTCAACAGCAATGCACAGGGTTTCCATTTTCTCTACAACCTTGTTACACTTTTATCTACACAATGTATTTTGAACATACGCCTACTAAATCCTTTCTTCCTTCCTGAGTGTTAAAAAGAATCCCTTAAATCTAAAGCATCGTTTTGTTTTGACTGATATTTATTGCTCATCAGTATTTTTTGAGTGTGTTATCTTAGGTAATTTCCTGGGCCCTGTATATGCAATATTGGAAAAAATAAATTAAGTTCCAGCCCTGATGGCTATTACATTTCCCTTCCTCTTCTACTAACACCTTCAGAATCATCCCTACTAAAGCATTTTTGGGCCACACCAACACACATCTTTTGGTTTCTTTGTCATTTATGTTGTTATTAAACACTTGCCATATCTAGGCATAGGAAGTAGAAAGATAACTTAGCAGTAAACTCATGGTCTAATAGAGAAAGCAAACATTTAAATTGCAGGTACAATATAGAATTGAGATTTAACAGAATACTCCAGAAGCACAGTAACAGGAATGAATCAGTGGTAAATATTTTATGGAACAGATAGTTTTTCTAGACACAGAGAGCAGCACATATAATCATAGAAAATAGCATTATTACTAAGATTTAAAGAAATGCAAAATTATCGGTGAGATTGGAGATGTTATCTGGGGTTAGAATTTGAAGACTTTTAGATTTGTTTTTAACAGATGTCTTTAGATGAGGAGTGATCTGAGGAATTGTTTCATGGGATAATAATGCACATAACTGAGGCCTGAAGTGATTGAACATAGTTTGATAAAACAGTTAACAGGTATTGAGGAAGAACATGTTTGGAACTAGTTTGAGGAAATGGTAACTAATAGATTTCCTCTTGGATATGATGAGTTTGAAATGGCTGTGCTGAAAGCATAGCTGTTCAGAATGCAGTTGGATATGGTAGAATCACTGCATAGGTGTATTTAACTTAGTGTGCTTTTTTTCATGAAGTTAAAGATACTAATAAAGGCACTAATTTGTGCTGTTTATTACAAATTGCATGGTGCCTGGCATCCTTTATGTTTTATATATACAATTACTATTCAGGTTTGTATAGCCAGAATTAAAGATGAAACTTTTATGAGCAATGTAAAGAATTTTCCAGGTAATTTTGTTCATTTGCAATTTTTGTTTTATATACTGACTTTAGATCCTAAAGGCTTGCAGCCTCCATGTACATTCACAGAAGCCTTGGATAAAAGGTTTTGAGCTAGAAATATAGCTTAGTGGATGTAAACAAACTGGCAAAACACAACAAAAGTAACTAAAATATGCTGGTTACCTGGAGGAGGTGGTTGACTATGTAGTGCATAGGTAACTGGGGCTTTGAAAAGGGTGAGTGAAATATGTGAACATACTGAGGTGAGAAATAGTACTCTCAAAATCACTTATGCAGTGAATAGCCAAGTATTAAAATTTTCATTAAAAATATTTAGTTAATGAAATGATGAATTGGTAAAGCCTTAGCTAAGAAGATGAATAACTACTATACAATTCAGTAACCACTATCTGTGTTTACCTAAATTAAAAGTTAAATAAAATTTAACATTCATTTTCTTAGTCACCCTAGTCACATTAGTAAACACATATTGAACAGTGACAGTTACAGAACAAATAGAAAAATTTCTAGTATAATGTTGGACAGTCTTGGTATAGAACTATACCGGGGTTTTTTTGTTTTCATCCATTTATTTTGAGAAAGAAAAGAGAAAAACATGTGAGGAAAATTTAGTATTATCCTGTTTTCTCCGCTTTTGTCCTTCCTTTGTTTTTCAACCTCCTGTAATACTATTTTCTATTATTATACAAGTATAATAGTATAATAATTATACTATGATAATTTAAGTAGTAGATATTTATGAATACAATTTCCTCCATTCTTTTTCTTTCAAAAGTAATTTATGCTTTTAAGCTAGTCTAGAATTCATATCTCCATGAATTGTTAGTAAATCATAAACTATATACTTTAAAAAATTATTTTTTTCTTTGCTGTTTAGGCAAAATATAAAGAAGTAAAAGCAAGAAATGCACAGTTATTGAAAATGCTTCAAGAAGGTGAAAGTAAGTGATTTGTGTATTTTTAGAATAAAAAAATTATCTGAAAACATTTGAACATAATTTTTCAAGCTATGTAATTTATCAAGTCAACAAAAAAAAAGGGTTCCCAAAGTGATACTAACTGGATTGTTGCTTGTAGTTTTATTATTATAAGTCACTTATAGTACCTTTGTATAATACAGGTTTATGACTATTCAGGATTTGCTTGTGAATATTCAAGAGAAACTCTTGACATTTTAATTTTTACAAGTTATTAGAGGAAATTTTTTTTTTTTTAGAACTGGGGTACAGGCTAGAGGTGCGGGGCGGTGAGAGGATTCACCAGAGATAGAGTGGGGAGCAGAACAGGCTGACTGATGAAGTACACTGCTGAGGGGTACAGTGGGGGGGTTAGGAGATGTCTGCGCAGCTATGATGGTCACCTCTAGGGAGAGTATTGAACTCATGCTGAAGTGGCTTTAGCTTCTTAGTGCTGTGCTTTAACCCACTGCGCCACCAGGGAGGGCCCATCTTTTTGTTTTTAACATTTATTTATGCACACAAGAGTAGGGGTGTAGGCCAGAGCTGTGGGGGGGAGAAAGTGAGGGGATTCACTAGAGACAAAGTGGAGAGCAGAACAGGCTTGTTTCAGTAGAAATACACTGCTAAGGAGAGTGGGAGGTGAGAGACAGGTGAGTTCCCTGGCCAGAGACCAAATTCGTGCTGCAGTGGCTGCCTATAACTTCATAGTGCTGAGACTTAACACAGTAAGCCACTGTATTAGAAGAACTTCTTATAAATTATATAGAGGGAAAACAATACTAATTTGCTTACGATTGTTAATTATCAGGAAGGCTTATAATATTTAGATTTTCCTTCTCTCAACCTGTCTGCTCTTCATACTTTTGCTAAACTTTTTGTAATCAATCACAAGCAGGAAACAAGAGTAATTACTAAAAATTTATTAGTTATTAATTTTACATCTTATAATCCCCCACCAAATCAACTGTATTCTTGAATATGTATACCCAGTAAGCCTTCCCTTGAAAATTCTTTGAAAAATTTTCATTCATAACAGCAAAGAAAGTATATATTAATTTTTAACATAACCTTTATATAAAGGAAATTATAAACCATAGAAGATAGATATAAATGAGAAAGTCTTTTTCCGAATAGACAAAATTTAGTCTACTAAATCATTTTCCATTACTATTAATGAAGCCCCAAATATAGTTTCTGTAAGTGTTAAATAGCACTTAAAAATCAGTGAAACTTACCTTGAAGAGTAAACAACTACTGAAATTATTTCAAATGTAAAGACTACTGGGAGTGGAATTTTCCAACCAAAATTTAAAATATAATAGTTATCAAGCAATATGAGTAAAAATCAGAAATGATATCATTGAGCAGAAAATAGTCTTGAAGTAGATTCAAATGTCTTTTATAACTTTAGCATACTTATAACTTTAATTATACAACTTTACTACTAGAAAATAAAATAAATTATAAAAATAATTGTAAGATTTCTTTCTAATTAAAGAAGTTAAGGGTTCATTGGTGATTGGGTGAGTGATTTTCAAATATGTCAGAAAAAATGTTTCTTAAGGAATAGAAAATTAGAAAAATTGATTTAAATTGGTTACCATTAAGTAATATTAGTTACCTCACTACAATATTCCAGTTAGGAGAATTTTATATAGAAACATTACATGAAAAATGCTCATAATACTTTAGAAAATACATACTCTGATATTATATCTGTCAGTGGACTTAATCAGTCCTGTTATAATGCATTATATATTACTTACAGTCACCAATCTCTGCAAAATTCCATATTCACAAATTCTATGGGGAGAATGGAGTGAAAAGTACATAACACTCAAAACCTTCACAGTGGCACATTAAAGATGGGCAACTCATAAAACTAATAATAGTTTAACACATATAAAATTGGTTAAACATAAAATACTATAAAATGACCCTTTAATTTGAGGACAACTCAGAAGAGTTGTAGCTTGTGTGTTAAGTGATGAAAGGTTTGGTGTGGTTCTTGAACACACATAAACTGAGGTAGATGGTAGATACATGAAGTGTGTGTATGAGTACGTTTTCTATATTTATGAAATTCTACTTAAGCAAATCCAAAATTTATGCATGTTCAGAGTATATCTATCTTACTGAAACAAATTCATATTTTCAGTAAGATTATAGAAGAACTGACTATAATTGAAATATTACATAATTATTAAAAATTTCTAGTTCTCACCAAGTGTGGATAATTTTTGGGATGGGGGTGTAAGAAATACAGATTGTAAATGTTCCCAAGTTGATTCCAGACAGGTGTGATTTGTTTCATGACAAAGCATTTCAATGACACATTTTATTAAACTTTAAAAAAAATTTTAATTACAGCATTATATTGGTAGTGCTATGGTGGTATCAGTACTCACATATTTGAACATTTCTTCCTTTACTGATTTTATTACATTTTTATCTCTTCAGTTCTCCTATCTTGTTTTCAAAGTTGAAAAATTAGTTTTTTGTATATTAGTCATTACCATGAGTGAAAAGAAGGTTCTTCCCTATGTGAGATTCTTTTTCTTGTGTCTGTGACATCTTTAGTGTAGATGGAAAGTACTATCTTTCATCATATCCATATAATTACTATTTTGTCATGTAAAATGTAAAATTTCCAATAAAAACTGCTATGGTGATAATAAACTTACCAGTGAAAAATAAGAACTAAATGTGGTCAACAAATACACTAATTAAGTGTGAGGAGAGTGATCAATCTTTGCCTAACTGCAGCACTTTCTTAATTCATTATAGTTAAAGAATTTGAGTAAAAAGGATAATACTTTTGTTTCTCTCTCTCTCTTTTTGTCAGTGAAAGATAAAGCAGAAATACTTCTGCAAGTTGATGAATCACAAAGTATCAAAAATGAGCTAACTGTACAGGTAAGGATAATTGTGCTTTTGTTAAGCTATTCTTTAGTCCTGAATTACAAGGCTTGACTGAATGAAAAAATATAGCCCAAAGACATTAAAAGTAAGTGATATAAATTCATTATTAATATAGGTAACTAATGAGTGAAGATTCTATTTACTGTGCTAAGGGCAGGAATTATGTCCTGAAAAATGAGGGAAGATAAGGTTTTATTTTAGTTGATGAGGACTATGAAATCAGAGATAAAAAGGACAGATAGAACTTATTTTATTCATGGACTTGATTTTCTCCCCTTCCTATCTTTATTCTGTTGTCTTGTCTTAGAATAGCAGGCTTGTTCTGGCTGTAGTATACCACTGAGTAAAAGGTCTAATTTAACTTGTGTATGTAGGTCTAGGGGGATTCTCCTATGATACTTTCATCTAGCTATCAAAAATTATCATTGAGAATAAGTGTTCATCAAAACTGTTTGTCTTCAATGACCAAGAAAGTCTTTTGATTGAATATTTGGTTATAGGTGTCCTCACTTCATGCTGCATTAGAACAAGAAAGATCTAAAGTGAAAGTATTACAGGCTGAGTTAGCCAAATACCAGGTATGCTTTTATAATTTTGAGAGTCTTTCAGCACAAGCAATACATTTGTATTAGATACCGTGTGAGAATAAATGCTTTGTTTTAGACCAAAATTAATTTACCAAGCACACTAATCATTTCGTTAACATACATTTTAGAAAATGTTGAGATTATTCTTTTAAAAAATGTTAAGGATATTGCTGTATAATTAATTTAGAAAATTTCTTGATACTACATAGATGATGTGGTGTGTCTACTACTGAATCACATCCATATAATTATGTTTATCCCATTATATAATTTCTTTGATCTCTTGTGTATAGCAGTGTCTCCTTTATGTCTTCATTGTAAAGCTACATTTTCCTTTTTTAGTTAATAGATACTGATGTGTGGAGTGATAATTTAAGATTATTTCATCTGCATTTGCAAGCTGGTATTCAGAATTTTTCAAGTGAAGCAGTTAAAAAAACTAGTTTGTTTCAACATATGTATATGTGTTTATATATACTTATGTATTTGTATGTACATATGTGTATGTATCTAAGTTGTGATATAAAACTATATTCATTAATGTGGTATCAGACCCAAAAATGTTTGAAAGTTCCTGATAAAAGTTGGTAGCACCAGCTTTGACCTGTCATCAAGATGAATCACTTTTTACCTGAGAGACTTTGGAAAGGATGCTTGTGTTTTTGTTTTAATTTTTTTGTTAGAAAGCAAGTTAACAGTTTTAAGCTGTATAACATTTGTACCTGTCAGTAGTGGATAAAGTTTTACAACTTAAACATTTGTAAAAATTACTCAGTAATACGCATGCATATTCAAATTTGCAACAAACTCAAAAAGACATTTCTTTCTTCTAATAACTCAAAATGCCTTTATTCTCATATATTCTTTTTTAAAATAGTTTATTTTTACATATTTTTGTGCATTTTTCCATCTCAGTTATTCTCATATATTCTTAAGATAAAAATGCCCATAAAATGATATTTCCTAAATAATTTGCCCTGTTTTTCTTTGCAGGGTGGCAGAAAAGGGAAAAGGAACTCTGAATCCGACCAGTGTAGGTGATTACATTAGCCTGAAAATTTAAGATTTTCAGGGTTTTGCAAAAATGTACATATTAAATGCTGTGCAACTGCTAAACTATGCAGTTTTTGTTGAAGAAATTGAAAACATATGGCTCACTAACCGTCTATAATTTTATGTTCTTTTGGCTTGAAGTGAAAGAAAAATAGAATTCCAGCAGAACTCAGTGATTATTATTTGCCATCCATACTTATCACTTTAGTTTTTCATCAGTCAATAAAATTAATTTACTCTTTTATTTATGTTTTATTTTTTAAAATTCAGAAACAATGCTTATTGCTTATTGCACAATCAGTTGGGTTATTTCAGTTCAATAAGTACTTAATCAGAACTTTTTGTATGCCAAACCCTATGGCACATACAAGGTGTATGAAACATGGCTAATAATGTAAAATTAGCTCAAGGACAATGGGGGGGGCAGTTAAAGACAACACCAAAAATAATTATCATATATGTAAGAGTGATATTACATAGTTTGGGATTTGAGAAAACTTTCATGAGATAGTTTTTTGGGGCTATATACACCTTTTCTGTAAATTTTTGAGAGATGCTCTGCAGAAGGAACAAAATCTGGACTGGAATATTTGTTTAAAAATAATTTGGCTTCTGGACAGAAACATGACACAATGGGAATAGAAAGTATTGATAAGAGAGAGAAATGAGTGAGAATTTTCACTGAGATAATGATGAGTAGTTTATTATATTCATTTTTTAAAAAAGATTTATTTGTGCATACAGAACTGGAGTACAGGCCAGCGGTGCAGGGGTGGTGAGAGGATTCACCAGAGACAGAGTGGGGAACAGAACAGGTAGATGGAAGAAGTACACTGCTGAGGGGAGGAGTGGGCGGATCAGGAGAGGTCTGCTGCACCATGTGGATCACCTCCAGGGTGGAGATGGAACTCATGTTAAAGTGGCTTTAGCTTCTTAGTGCTGTGCTTTAACCCGCTGCGCCACCAGGGAGGGCCTATTGTATTCATTTTTTAAGTATAGTAAGTGATTTACTAACATACAGCTTTTTTTTTTTTTCAAATAAAAAGGATAAACATATAAATTCTGGCCTTGGTCACCAAAGCCAGTATTATGTTACATGACAGATTCTACTTCATTACAGTCTTTGAAGAAAAAATACTTAAAGTCATCATTACTTTATATCTGGCTTCTTTAATAACTTAACCTGAAATATGCATAATTGTGACTGATCATTCCCTTTATTCTCAGTGCTCAGTTAGTCTTTTGTATGACATAGAGTAAATGTTAAAGAATTATTTGTTAAGGGGTAAAATTTTATGGATTGCTTTTACCGTATTTTACTTTTAATAATACCATCAAAACCTAACTGATTCATAAAACGTATGGTAATATTCAATAAATGAACAAAATAAAAAATTTAATGCTATCTTTGAACTAGAAAGAACTTGAATAGAATGGTTTCATTTATAATTGAATTATTAAAACACACTATTTTACATGCTTTTGGTTACCTCCCTACACATTACTCATCTGGTACAGAATCTAGTACCCGACCTGGCACATAGTAGACACTCAACCAATGTGCTATTTTTTAGTAGTGTTTATTGATTTAAAATCACAAAGAAATCTTTACTTTTCATTCTTTTTGTGTGTGTGTTGGGTATTCTCTAGAGTACTTTATTCATAGTTATGTTTTTCCCTTTGACTTCTTCCCCTTAATTGATATGTCTACTGCTTTGGCTAAATCTATCAACTTCAGGCCAATATACCAAATTTGCTAGGAAAAGCTTTACCAAGACAGAAAAGATGATCAGTGTTCTATTGGTGATGTCTTCCATTCTAGTAAATTGATTTCTCAGACATCAGTTTCCTGAATGTTCAATAAATTATTGATAGTTTGCTATGTGTTAGGCAGTGTGCTCAGTGAGAAGCAAATATGTTCATAATCAAGTGGAAGAAAACAAATGTAAAATATTCCAATAGATAATCATACTGATATATTCAAATTGCTCTTGGAGAACAAAAAAGATACATCTTACTATTTTAAAGGGGTTTATTAGGCCATTTCTTTTAATTATTTCAAATTCTATTAATTATCTCAAATTCCAAACAAAGTAATGATGACAATATAGCCAGTTAATTAGGTTCAGCAAGTATTTTTGACATATTCAGTAGTATGTTAGTACAGCCATAAGATATAGAGCTCTATTTTAATCCCATTTCTATTACGTATTAGCAGTATGATGATGTTTCATTCTAAATTACCAATAAGTGCCCTCCCTGGTGAAGCAAAGTGTTAAAGCGCAGCAATACAAATCTGTCAGTGGCCACTGCAGCCCAAGTTTGATCCCTGCGCAGGGAGGTGACCCACATGGCACAGCAGACCTCTCCAGTCCCGCCAGCTGCCCCCCTCACCAGTGTATTTCAGTAGGTCTGCCTGTTCTGTTCCCCCCTCTCTGTTTCTGGTGAATCCTTTCAGCCCCAACCCCCACCCACACCTTTGGCCTGTACCCCATTTCTTGTATACAAAAATAAATCAATCCTAAAAAAAAGTCACTTATTTAAATGCTGAGACTCACTACTAGGGTAGCTGTTATGAAGTAGATCCCCATATGCACTACTAGTAACACTGTACTTTGGTTTCTGCCTTTTGGAAAATAACTATGTTATGAGCCAGGAAAAAATGTTATACCCACTATTCCCAGTTTTGAATAATTTATCCTAAGAAATTAATTTGAAAAAAGATTAAATTTAAAAGATCGACACAGTTAAAATAGTTTAGTATAATAGGACAGGACACCATGCCATAACCTGAATGTTGGATCCCCAAGATTCAAATATCCAATTTGAGTGACTAATTAATATAACACATCTATGGGAATTGTTATGCAACTTTAAAAAGAGATAATTCAAATGACTATATGCAAACATGGAGTATATTGAATAAAATTTTAAAATAAAGTATAAATTTGTATATTGATTACAGCTATTAGAAAATAATCATTTCAAAATAGAACTGTTGGAATGGGTAACTATGGGGGATTCCAGATTTCCCTTGCAAATGTTATCTAAAGTGCTCAATTTTTTTTTTAAATAAAAAAGGAAAACATTACTACTAAGATTTATGTTAAGTATAAATATTGTCTTGGGAGTAGGTTGTGTTAACTTACTCATTTTATTGATGTTCTACTGATTTGTGTTAATTATTGTAGGAACTCTCTTGGACATGGAAGTATTTTCCTTTTAGATCTAGAACTTCATTATGATAGAACTGAATCAGGGAAAGTAGTAGCATTGTGAATCAGAGTGACTCTGTGGATGCAGGGAAACTTAAAAGGTTTTAGTCAACTATAGCTTAACACTCCCCATGTCTTCATATTTTAAAAATTTAAAGCTTAGAAATTTTACTATTTACCATATCATATTATTCTAAAAATACCTATTCAAAATTAACTTTTTGATATACATGCAATAAGATGTGAACTGAGTTGTAAATTTTATGAAATATAGTATGCTCCCCATTGTGAATTTGGAAATTTTCTCTTCAGTATCTCAATATATATGAGTGCTGATTACATCAACTTATATAAAAGTAGTTTTTTTTTAAAAACTCTATGCACTACAATTGACATTAAGCTGCACATAATATGTGGGAATTAATGAACATGCTTTGTGACTTCAGTTCTTTAAAATAGATTCTTTAGGTACCAATATGTGATTTCACTAAAATTGTGAACAGTGGATTTAAAAAGAACCTGTGTTCTGCACTCATTTGGTGAGATATACTATTTATGTCCAGTTAGGTTGTTTCTGCAAATCTATCCTTAATGATTTTCAGCTCTCTGTCGTTACTGAAAGCAATGTGATAAAAATTACTATATTCGTGGATCTGTGTACTTTTCCCCCCCTACTTTTGAAGTACATCCCTCAATGAAAATTATTCTGCCTGGTTATTGTATTTTTATGAAATTATTGTTGCAAGTATGTTTTTTGTTTTAAAAGTCTGTTTCAAGATGGCAGCTAAGTGAAGATGCCAGGCTCGCCTCTTCCAGATACAACCTAACTGCAGTAAAACAAAGCCAAAAAAACAAAAAAAAGAAACCCAAGGGAAAAACTGACTACCCACAGCACACATGGAGCAACGCAATGGTCCAGCAGAAAGGGGTAGGAAAAACTTTCAGTGAACTTTGTTTAAAGTGATAATGGGGCAGTAGAACCCTCAAGAGCTGTTTCTGGGTAGAGCCCCTTACAGCTATTGACTTGGGAGCACACCAGAAATAGGGCTTTTGAGACTTAGTATTGCAAGGCATAAGGGGCTGCACAATTGGAGAGCTGCAGGGGTGGGGATGCCACGCAAGGACTACTACTGGCTTGATCTAGAGGCCCTAAAATATAAAACAGCGGGAGCCTGAATTAGCAGGGAGGAACAGCTGGGTCTCCTTACAGAAGAGGCTAACATGAAACCCAGGCTGAGATACTCAAAACATGTGCCACCCCCAACATAGGCCCATGGTTTCCTAATCATTCATTGGGTTGTAATCCATTACTTTGTTGCTCAGATTGTCCCTGGGTGACTATTAGGGCCCTCTTGAAGGTGACTTTTATGTTTTTTGACAAGCTCCATCATCCTTTTTTGCTTTCTGAAACACACAATAAATGTACATTTTTCATTGTAACCCTGTGAATCAGGCATTCTCCAGGGAACCTTGGTTCCTTTTATAAGAGAGGAAAGGAACAAAAGTCTCTGTACTAGGTTTGCTTCTTACTACTGTGCAATTGCTATGGAATATACACACACACTTCCATCTATAATCCTAACTATATCCATGTTGAAATCCATGAGTTCAATTGATTCCAACTTGGTATCATAAACTTCATCCTTTTTTTTCTTACCATATTTATAATCCTTTTTCTAAAGGTAAGGAACCTGACTCCTATTCTGAATATATTTATAGTTGAATCTCATTACTCACAGTAGTTATGTTCTATAAAGTCACTGCAAACACTAGCAAATAATGAACTATTTTCCTAGGGGAAATAAAAGGTCAGATTCCCATGAGCCTCAGATCACATTTTAATGTTCAGCATTTGTTATTTTCTGTGTTTCATTTTAAGAACAATTTATTTTCAGATCTGTATTTGATTCCATTGGACTCATGGCTACAGCACTATAATATGAGCAGTGGAGCTTATTTAACATGTGTGTTTTCTCTCTAAGGCATATCACAACCTTTCCTTAGAAACACTAGACAGCACTTCAGCACTGTGTTTGGGGCCATTTTAAATAGTGAAATCACCAACAGGAAACACAAAAGTGTTAAAAACATGGCTAATGAGATTGGGAAGAGGATGGTATTTACAGGGTGGGAGCTAAAATGAGAAGGCAGAGTGTGACTATGTTTGATCTTAGTAGGGCATGTGCATCAAATGTCTCAGTTTTTGTTACTGTTCTGTGCATGTCTACAAATGATCTGCATGTCATAAATACTGATTTTGAGATTACCAAAAAAAATGGATAAATTCACAAACATAGAATCAATGAATATTGAGGATTGATTTAATTTACTTGATCAATTTCTCTGCCTCTAACCAATTTCCCATTGGTGCTGCAGCCCTGTGGGAATGCCCTCTTCACCCTGCTCATACTGATACCCAGCTCTGTGCGATGATGCCTACCACATCGCCCCTCTGACATCTCCCCTTATCTCACAACCACCTTATGACTTCTGGACTCTTTCAGGAAGAGAAAGAGACAGGTACTTCACTTGCAAGGGTTTTAAAAGAAGC